AGGGCTTAAGGTTCTTAATTCTGAAACGACCTAACATGAAAACTTGTTTCGCGTGCATTTGTTGCTTAAGTGTGGAGGCTAACTTGAGCCCTTAACTGCCCATATTTGAAGTCCAATATGTGTTTTGTATGTCGCCTAGTTTTGACATTTCTGAGCCACCTAAGTAAGGTTTAGAACCACCTAGTAGAGGTCCAATACCTCCCGAACCATAGGAATGGGACGGGTAGTGCACGCATAGAGCACGACTTAGAATTGAATTAGCGCACTTCAGATAAACAGCTTTAACATAGTAATCGGGTAGCAGGAGATGATAGTCTGTGCCCGCTGAATAATATGAGTAACTCCCTATCTCAAGGGAGTTGCAAAGTATTATTTATGTTGCACGGGGTGATCCTTTAGGCTAAAAAACTTATGACCCCTCATCCCCCTCTTTTATATTTTGTTATTAGATCCAAATAGTTGTATCCCTATATTCGTACTAAGATCTGTACTAATCATGTTGTAATGAAATTCTATGACCTTTACATTCGCTTTGTTTATTTGATCACTTAGCCTAATTGTAATCCACATAATCTTAAGTTCGACCGGGACCCACAGTTGTGGACCTCGAAGAGTGCCTAACACCTTCTCTTTGAGGTAATTTGAGCCCTTACCCGATCTTTGGTGACGCTGACTAGTCAAACAAAGTCTTTTGCATAATAGGTGCCCTAAAGCACCTTAAAAATCCTTTATTTAAAAAGGCTGTCTCAACGTCGAAAGCCCGCTTTCGCGAGAAAACAGGGCGCGACACACGCAACCTTGAAATTCAAGGGGATCAATCCCATTTCGAGGATTCGATCAGTGACACCCGCAATGACGGGAATGATGCCACACCGGTGCATGACAGGCGATACCCTCGATAGGTTCGGGAGATAACTCCCGATGATGCTGACGAGGAGCAAGTAGAAGATTCTATGAGGATCCTGTAAGAGCAACAGGCAATCATCCTAGGCCATATCACGCGGCAGGATCAGGTTATGATGAAACTGAAACAAGCGATGTCAGGTGCTTCTAATGATGCAAACAGGCGCGATCCAATTCCACCATTGTTCCCATAGACCAAACAATGCATAGAGTAGACAACAACATTCCCAGGGGTAAAGTTGGCTCCGATAGGGCTGGGGGAAGCAGATCAAGTCTTAACAACGAGAACGATTCATTCAAAGATGAGATTTTATGATTCACGAGGGAAGTAAATGCCCGCATAGATCAAATCCCGGGCGCACCACCAGTATTAAAAGGCCCGAACTCGAAGAAGTATGTTCAATTACTATACAAGCCAAGTGCGGCACCGGAACTAATTCCGAAGTGATTCAAAATTCCTGAAGTTCCAAAGTATGAAGGAACTTTAGACCCACAGGAATATATTACCACATACACAACAAAGGTGAAAGGAAATGATCTAGCTCCTTACGAAATTGAATTTGTGTTGCTAAAGAAATTCGGCGAAACTCTCACGAGGGGATCCTTAACGTGGTATTCATTACTGCCCGAGCATTCCATAAATTCTTTTGAAATACTCATAGATTCTTTCATTAAAGCTCATGCCGGGGCCAGAAAGATGCAAGCTTGGAAGGCTGATATATTAAGAATCACACAAGGAGAATCAGAATTATTACGAGAGTTTGTTACCCGATTCCAAAAAAAAAGAATGTTGCTCCCAGCCATCCCGGATGAATGGGCAGCTGGATCATTCACCAAAGGATTGAATCCAAGAAGTTCAGACGCTTTCGGGAAGCTAAAGGAGAGCCTGCTTGAGTTTCAAGCAACAACCTGGGCAGATGTTCACAACCGGTACGAGTCGAAGATAAGGATCAAAGATGACCGGGTCGATTCTACATCATCGGCCAAAGGACATGAGAAGAATATAGAAAGATCAAAGGATGACTACGACACAGATATGTGGACTATGAAGGGTCGGATTTTGCCCTACGAGCGTACCGAAGGCCGTGGCAGAAAGTTTCGAGCAACAAACAAGTTCACCGTTGACGGAGGGACTGATCGTGGTCGAAATAATAGATCACTTCAAGATAAATAAACGTCGGGATCTCAAGATCTTTCTTACCCCAGGTTATCAGAATATAACTTCAAAGTCAGTGTAATGGAACTGGTGTTAGCCATGAGGAAAAATAAAGAAGCACGATTCCCGAGACCTACGAGGTCCGATTCCAGCCAGAGGGATCCTACTTTATGGTGCGAATACCACGGGACGAACGGTGATGGTAGGCTATAATCCCGTATTTTAGTCGCTTATTGCACTCTAATTTACTGCACTTTACTTATGTTGAGCTTTAATTAATAGTGTTTTACACTTATTGTGTGTTTTATGCCGTGTAGGAGTTATTTAGATGTTACGGAGAAAATTTGAGCTATTTGAAGCTTTGAAGTCTGGTAGAAGCCCAAGGGATTAAACCAGAATCGCGTTCGGGGGTCGAGTACTAAGTCCGGATATCAAAACTGGAAAGAAACAAATTACTCTAAGCAAACTACACTACTGCATCGCATGGGGTGGAGCGACTATGTAAAATATGGCCAGAAAGTGTTTTGCAATTCGTCCTTGAAATTGTCACAAGCGCGCGGCATGGTGCGGCGCGTTAGTGCAAAAATATTAGAGTATCTTCCCATTTCCGATAAAAAGGATATTTTCGTACGGGGTTTATTTGGGGGATAGTTAAATACACAAGAAAACACCATTTCCTGACTTTTGACATAACTTAGACCTAAGGAAGCTAAGGAGAAGAGGGGGAAGCAAGAGCACAAGGATTTCATCCTTTCTTTCTCACTCAAGATCCGGGTTTGGATTGTATTTATGTTTTCCTATATTTTTGTTTCAATTGTGAAGAACCTTTCCATGTCTATGGAGTAGAACCTTTTGGGTTTTGATGATTTAGTGTATTGATAGTTTTTTGTGGATTATAACTCTAATTTCATGTATTTGAATCATTTTTGGAAGATTAAATTGTTGCATTTATGTTCACTTGTTCTTGTAATCGAGAGAGGAATAACTTGTGATATATTTGCACTATATTGTTGGTTAAGTTCATAGATTCTTCTAAGTAATTGAAAGAGGCTAGTTGAACCCTTGATTAAACCTAGTTAGGAGGATAATCGAAAGAGGTTCTCCTAAAGACCAACCCATTACGATTTCTTGCATATCTTCACCGAGCTTAAATTGGTTCATATTGTGAGGTTGAGATTTAATTGAGAGAGGAGTTTCTACTAAATAATTGTATTGATAATTAAGTGAATTCGAGAGATTCACTTGAACATTAGTAGTGAATTATCTAGAGTTAGATCCCGAGCAATTATTTTGCACCTATTCTATTAGCCCATATTTTCTCCCATTGATAACTTGCCTACTTACCTTTGTTGCGATTGTCATTAGTCAATAGTTTAGATTCTTAGTTAATTTCAATTCTTAATTGTATAAATCTCCATTATTGATCCTCCTGGATAGCAATCCAGCTACAAACTACGAGAATACTGTTTAAATCTAATCCATGTGGACATGATATCATATTATACTATCTTTGACTAGCGAGCACAATTTAAGTGTGTGTTTTGAGTACCGTCAAATGGCGCTGCTGTCGGGGATTGGCAATCAATAGTGTTTAAAATAGTTTGTAGTGCTAATTTAGGAAATTATTTTATTTTATTTTATTCTTTACGGCTTTCTCCTCCGTGTGCAAGGCAACAGGTTAAATCCGTAGTGTATGACATGATCTTCTTGTAAAGAAGTAATACCCTACAACCCGGAATTGGAAAAACACCTGTGATAATTGAGGAAGGAGAAAGAGTTTACCGTAATGTTCTTGGGGTAACCTTCAAACAAAGAATACATGGCTAATAACGATGACAATAAGGTAGAGGCAGCCCATAGAGCTGCTGAGGAAACTGTCGAAGACAATAGGGGTCGAAGATTCAATCTAAATCGACCCTTGATTAAAGACCAGTTTGAGAATGCGGTACCAAGGCTTGGTAAAGCATTGGGTGACTACGCCAGACCAGTCTACAATCAAGGACTGTCAAGTGTTAGACCACCTCCAATTGTAGCCAATAATTTCGAGCTGAAGCAAGGTTTGCTTCAAACCATTCAAAATAGCTACGTTTTCAGAGGGAAGATGAATGAAGATCCAAAGACGCATATGATGGACTTCGAGGAGATCATGAACACCTTTCAATACAATGGGGTGTCACAAGGTCATTCCCCTTTTTCACTTAAAGATAATGCGAAGCAGTGGCTTCGAAGCTTGCAAAATGAATCAATTGGAACATGGGAGGAAATGACCAGAAAATTTCTTGATAAATATTTCTCCTCAGCTAAGACGGTCAAGTTTAGAAGAGAAATCCATAACTTCTGCCAGAAAGAGAACGAAACTATTTTTGAAGCATGTGAGAGGTTTCAACAGAGCAGAATTGAACTCTGGATGCAACTCTAGGGTTTTGGGATGGATTGACACCGACCTCGCGTAGAACATTGAGCAATGCAGTTGGAGGCCCCTTTATGAAAAAGACTCCAGAGGAGATAGTTACTATTCTCGATGAGTTATCTGAAGATGCTAATCATTAGCCCTCTAATAGTGTGGAAAGAAGAAAATCAACTGCTGTTCACCAAGTTGATGCTACTACATCTGCGCAAGTACAACTTGATGCTATGGCTAGAGAAATACGAAAGCTAACTGTAGTTTCGATGCAAAATGTACACCACACAGCTTGTGATATATATGAAAAGAGGATACCCTACTCATGAGTGTCAAGCCTCAACTGAGGAAGTGAATGTTGTAGGAAATTATAATTTTAATGCAATGGGTCGGAGGCACCCCAGATTTTCATGGAGTTCACCTGGGGTTACTGCAAATGCATGGCAAAAAAACAACCCCAGATTCCATGAACAAGGAGCTCCGGGCTCTCAAAATTAGCAGAGGCGGCAGTATCAATCTCCAAAGTCGAATTAACCCAGCATGGAAGATCTAATGAAGACCTTCATTATCAATACATATGAGAGGCTTGATGCCCATGATGCATATATCAAAGAATTGGGTACATCTTTTCGAAGCGTGGAAAGACAGGTTGGGCACTTAGCTACTCTAATGTCTGAGAGAGCCCCAGGAACACTCTCGGCTGATACAGAAAGAAATCCCAAAGAAACAGTAAATGCTGTAACTTTGAGAAGTGGAAAAGTGTTAAAAGATCTCACCCCAATCCACAAAGATGTGAGACATGAAAAACAAAGCAAGGAGCAGCTGAAAAGTGGTGTCGAAAAGAAGAAGGAAGAAAACTCGAGAAGGGAGGAACCTAAGGAGAGCAAGCATATGCCGGTGTTGCCTTTTCCCCAAAAGTTAAGTAGAGAAAAGCTAGACAAGCAGTTCAAAAGATTTCTAGATGTGCTAAAATAGGTTCATGTAAACCTACCATTCACAGAAGTGCTCTCACAAATGCCGGCTTATGCCAAGTTCTTGAAGGAGATCCTGACAAAGAAGAGGAAAATAGAAGAGACCTCAGTGGTCAAGCTCATAGAGCATTGCAGTGCAATATTACAAAACAAACTCCCACAAAAGTGTGGAGATCCAGGGAGTTTTACCATACCTAGCTCTTTAGGCACTACTAATTTTGATAAGTCTCTATGTGATTCTGGTGCCTCAATTAATTTAATGCCTCTATCTATTTACAGGAAACTAGAGAAGGAGATTGAATAGATAAGGTCTGCACCAATATCTTTGCAGTTGGCAGACCAAACGATTCTAATACCCGAGAGAATAGTTGAAGATGTCTTAGTTCAGGTAGATAAGTTTGTATTTCCTATGGATTTCATAGTGGTTAATATGGAAGAGAAAAAGAAGGCCCCCCTCATCCTAGGAAGACCATTCCTAGAAACGGGTAGATAAATATTACATATACATCAGAGAAAACTCATACTTAGAGTGGGCGAGGAAATTGTGACTTTTGAGATGGATGTAGAAACGGGGGTAAAAAGGGAGAAGCTAGCTGCTAGTGTTGTGTGGAAAGTGAAGGACGTGACAGAGAATGCTGTAGTAAGTGAAAACGATAAGTGTGGGGTGTACCCCAAGAAGTCTGAGAAGAAGCTATCTGCATGGATGAGTGCACTAGTTCAGGCGAGAGGAATGGAGCCCAACTTCGACTCAACTTGCCTGGTGTGTTTGCAAAGTGAAATAGTAGTTTTATTCAGTCTTGGAAGTGATATATGCGTTTCTTTGTTGAGCCAGCTATATGTTGTACCCACCTAATTGTTATGTATCTTAGTTAACCCCTTTGAGCATCCAATCCTGTTTCTTTGGCAACCACATTATAAGTCTTACCCATTTTACCTCTCGGGAGCACATGAAATTATTATGAACTTTGTAAAAGTTAAAGTGTGGGGTGTTGGTTGGCTTTTGATTGGAACTAATGAAATAAGGAGAAAGGTGCACTATTTTGCAAAACAATAAGAGCCACGTGAATTGAAAAAAAATAAAATAAAAATATAGTTGCATTGTTGTGCAAATATTCATTGATAGTGGTAACTTTTGATGTATGCGTGCTTAAAGAAGTGGGGAGTTGACATATATTGTTTTGCGGGTAGAGTTATGGTTTGACAAAAGTCTAGAATTTTGAACGGTCAATTGTATGTATTAAAGTTCTTAGGGAGGTGTAGTCAATATATCCAAATGTATCCTACCCGTCCCGCAGCCTACATTACAACCAAATAAAGTTCTACTCGATCCTTGACTGAATGAGTTCAATTAGTAGAGTAATACATTATGGGCAAGCTTATGGTACGTCTTTTGTAGCACATGAGTATTACTTCTGAGAGTGAGCGAATTCTTCCTATCTTAAGTTCCTAATTGTTCTTAAACTCTATTGTGTGTGGAACTACTCTCTATTATTATGTGACGACACTTGATTCATGAAGGAAAGGTATTGTCATTGACCTCTGTGTTAGAGTAAGTGAGCAGTTGTGAAAAATGCGTGGTGCTTTTGAGTGAAATCTTGAGGCAAGGATATTACAACATTGTGCTTAATTTATTTTGATTGTTCTTGGTGTGATGAGTTAGGCGAGTTGTTTAAAAAGGTCGTGTCTATGTGAAATGTAGTTTGATTGCTGGAGAATAAGCAATGGTTTAAGTGTGGGGTATTGATGGTAGGCTATAATCCCGTATTTTAGTCGCTTATTGTAATCTAATTTATTGTACTTTATTTATGTTGAGCTTTAACTAATAGTGTTTTGCACTTATTGTGTATTTTATGGCGTGTAGGAGTGATTCTGAGTTATTTAGATGTTATGGAGCAAATTCAAGCTATTTGGAGCTTTGAAGTCTGAGTAGAAGCCCAAGGGATTAAACCGAGATCACGTTCGGGGGTCGAGTACCAAGTCCGGATGTCAAAACTGGAAAGAAATGAATTACTCTAACCAAACTACACTGCCACGTCGCATGGGGCGGCGTGGTTGTGTAAAATATGGCCAGAAAGTGTTTTGCAATTCGTCTTGGAAATTGCCACAAGCGCGCCGCATGGTGCATCGCGGTAGTGCAAACTTCTTAGAGTATCTTCCCATTTTCGCTAAAAAGGGTATTTTTGTCTGGGGTTTATTTGGGGGATAGTTAAATACACGGGAAAACACCATTTATTCACTTTTGACATACATTAGACCTAAGGAAGCTAAGGAGAAGAGGGAGAAGCAAGAGCACAAAGATTTCATCATTCCTTCCTCACTCAAGATCCGGGTTTGGATTGTATTTATGTTTTCCTATATTTTTGTTTCAATTGTGAAGAACTTCTCCATGTCTATGGAGTAGAACCTTTTGGGTTTTGATGGATTTGGTGTATTGATGGTTGTTTGTGGATTATAACTCTAATTTTATGTATTTGAATCATTTTTGGAAGATTAAATTGTTGTATCTATGTTCACTTGTTCTTGTAATCTAGAGAGGTATAACTTGTGATATATTTGCACTATATTGTTGGTTGAGTTCATAGATTCTTCTAGGTAATCGAAAGAGGCTAGTTGAATCCTTGATTAAACCTAGTTAGGAGGATAATCGAAAGAGGTTCTCCTAAAGACCAATCCATTACGATTTCTTGCATATCTTCACCGAGCTTAAATTGGTTCATATTGTGAGGTTGAGATTTAATTGAGAGAGGAGTTTCTACTAAACAATTGTATTGATAATTAAGTGAATTCGAGAGATTCACTTGAACATTAGTAGTGAATTATCTAGAGTTAGATCCCGAGCAATTATTTTGCACCTATTCTATCAGCCCATATTTTCTCCCATTGATAACTTGCCTACTTACCTTTGTTGCAATTGTCATTAGTCAATAGTTAAGATTCTTAGTTAATTTCAATTCTTAATTGTATAAATCTCCATTGTTGATCCTCCTGGATAGCAATCCATCTACAAACTACGATAAAACTGTTTAAATCCAATCCTTGTGGGCACGATATCATACTATACTATCTTTGACTAGCGAGCACAATTTAAGTGTGTATTTTGCGTACTGTCAAACGGTCACCAGACAGGGGACTGTCGACATCTTCGGGAGGAGGTGGAAACACTATTGAATAATGGTCATCTCCGAAAATTCTTGAGTGATCCAGCTAAGAACAATTATGGTCGTAACAGAGACAACACGGAATCCTCGAAAGCAAGAGAAGAAATCCCACGCCAAACGATCAACATGATCTTTAGGGGGAACGAGATTAACCGGGTCACCGTTTTGGCAGAAAAGAAGACTAAAATATTGATAACTCATAGAAAAAGTCTCCAGGAGGACGATATCACTTTCACGGAGGAAGACACAGACGGATTGCTATTACCACACAACGACGCACTGGTAATCTCTTTAAATGTGTTAGATTTTAAAATTAAGTGTGTTCTAGTGGATCCAGGAAGTTCGGCTAATATCATACAATGGAGAGTATTGGAACAAGCTAAACTCACTGAAAGCATTATTCCGGCAACAAAACTCCTCGCTGGATTCAACCTTGCGAGAGTGACGACCCGGGGAGAGATCTTGCTGCTCACGAATGCTGAAGGAGTAATGAAAATAACTCTCTTCGAAGTAGTGGATGGTGATATGGGATACAACATCATCTTAGAAAGGCTATGGTTACACAAGATGAAAGTTTTACCTTCGACGTATCACCAATTGCTGAGGTTATAAGAGGTGACCAACCGACAATGAGGGAGATGAATGCAATCTCAATTTCCAGTAGCAAAGGGAAGGAGCACACGACATAGCAATTACAGGAACCGACGCCTACTTTCGAGTTAGAAGAGGTTATTCCAGGGGAAGAATCGTTAGAACAATATTAGGTGTCCGGATATTTCCAAGTTTCGGAAGAAACGGACACAACAAAATCCATGGCAGAGGAACTAGAGCAAGTGTCATTATTCAAAGAATTCTTAGAAAAAAAATTTCACTTGGGAACATGACTGCCCCCCGAGCTCAGGTATGGTTTTATTGAATTCCTTACAGTAAACGCTAATTGTTTTGCATAGTCTCACAAGGATATGACAGGTATCCCCATAGAAATAGCCATGCACAAGCTGAGTCTGGATCCCAACGTACCACCAGTACGACAAAAGAAGTGCCATATTTCCGAGGCTAGGAATAAATTCGTCAACGAAGAGGTAACTCGCTTGCTTATAATCGGTTCGGCCAGAGAGGTAAGACATCCATACTGGCTAGCCAATGTAGTAGTAGTTCCTAAGAAGAGCAATAAATTTCCTATGTGTGTAGATTATAAAGATCTTAATAAGGCATGCCCAAAAGATTCGTTTCCACTGCCAAATATCGATCAAATGATTGATGCCACGGTCGGGCACGAACTGATGAGTTTTCTTGATGCATATTCCAGGTACAATCAAATTAAGATGAACCCAGAAGATCAGGAAAAGACTTCATTTATAACAAATTTCGGTACATATTGTTACAATGTAATGCCTTTCGGGTTGAAAAACGTCGGAGCCACTTATCAACGGCTCATAAATAAGATGTTTGAAAAGCAAATAGGAAAAACCATGGAAGTTTATATAGACGATATGCTCGTTAGGTCTTTGAATACAGGTTACCACCTTAAGCATTTGCAAGAAACATTCGATATCCTGAGGAAGCATAACATGATACTTAACCCCCGAAAAGTGCACGTTCGGGGTCAGCTCCGGTAAGTTCCCGGGATTTCTGGTCTCACAAAGGGGAATTGAGGTAAACCCTAACAAAATCAAGGCCATAGACAATATCCCAGATCAATTATCAAACATGAAGGAAGTCCAAAGACTCACATGAAGGTTAGCATCTTTGAGCAGGTTCATTTCTCGGTCATTGGAAACGTGTCGTCGCTTCTTTACATTGCTAAAAAAGAAGAACAATTTCGAATGGATGCCGGAGTGCCAGA